GGGCTGTGCTGCCTTCGAGGCTTCCCCCTGCCCGTGCCGTCCCTCTGCCCAGCCTGTGGTGGGGTGTGTGGGTGGCAGAGTCCCCTGTCCCCTCCTGGGGTGCAGGACAGCACCCCCAGGTCCCTGCTGAGAACCGTTAGAGTTAACACTGTGGTTGGATTTAGCACTTTCTTCATTACCTCACACTTCATAAATAAATAAGTTTGCAACAGCCTGGGTTGGCTTTTTCCATACAGGTGGCTGGGGGTTTCCATGCATTGCGCCACGATTCTCCTGGGGGGGCTGGCCTGGCTGCTGGGTTTTGGGGTGTCCTGGCCGCTCACAGAAATGAACATATTTGGTACTGGGGCTTGGGTGCCTTGCTCCCAGTAAGGCTGAGCGCCTTGTCCTGGCTTTCTCTCAGAGGTCGAAACTGAAGTGGTCGCGGTGGTGGGGCCAGGGAAACGAATCCCCTGGATTATTTTTCTACCTTTTAAGTGGAGTTCTTGGGAAGGAGGGGCAGAGAGCCCATGTGGGGCTCGGAGAAGGCTTTGGTGTAACTATAAACCCCCCTGGCGGGGTGTGGGGCGACTGCTGCCCTCAGGGCCCTGGTTGGCAGTAACCCTACCGGGAGGGGGGAACGCAATCTGCTCGCTTTAGGGGCACCGAAGAGCTTCGTACGCCCAGATCTGCTGAGCGGGTGAAACAGTCGATCTGCCTGCTCTCCCTGCCGCCCCTGAACCCGAGGCTTTCGGGTTTCCTTCGTGCTGGTGGCAAAAGTCTTCCTCTAAACACAGGAGGGACGTGGGATCCTGTTACTGCCCAGAAGTCAGCAGAGAGCTGCTGCTGCTGCAGGAGACTCGGTCACCTGGGGGAAGCCAGCCTGAAAAAGCAATGATTCCACCCAGAAGCTCTTAAATACCCGTCCCCTTTGGCCCCGGCAACATTTCTCACTTTCTGCGCGTCGCATCACGGTCTGGCAAAGCGCTTTCGAGCTGTACTACAAGGTGCTCACACAGCTTAAACGTGGGGTGACCTAAACCTGACACCTCGCCCGTGCGCGGGAAGCAAAGCCCAGACGCACCAGTCCCTCAACCGTTTATTTTTGTTGTGTGCGCACCGACACTTGCAGACTGGTGTCTTTTCTCAGCTCAGGGTGACCCTCCCGATAGGGTTTTTAGTAAGGTGAGTGTTTTCTTTTCATACACAGGGTCTTTAGAAGGTTATTTTTCTTTCTTGGAAATGATGTGCAGATCCCGAGGCCTGAGCTGAGACCATCACCAGTGGAACGCGGTCGGTCTTAAACCAGCCTGAGGAGCAGCTGTGGTTCTGCACGTGCCTTTGCGTTCTCCTGCTTAAAGCCCTCACCCAGATACACATGGACCTGGAACTTCCCCGGTTACGAGGGCAGATGCCTCCCCTCGTCTCGCCCCGGCGAGGACCAGCAGAGCAGACTGACAGCGCGGTTCGGGGAACCAAAGAAACCCGCC